ATTTCTGTCAATTCACAAAAATTCACTGTAGTCTGTGCTTTATTGTCATGATACTGACATTCAAATATGTATTGTCAAATTTAATCAAATTCCAACATGCCAGCAGTAAGTGCGTTTAATAAAATAAAAACTATCTCTGGTACAAGAAGGTATGTTTCAAAGACGTGTCTCTATACTTTTGTGCATACCAAGGACTACCATTTCAAAGGACAAAGGTAAAAAGTAGCAAGAAGCATCGAGCATTCTGTCAACATGACAAACGTTAATTAAAATTCTGAAACAAGGTTAGGAAAACCTAAAGACTAATTTACACTTTTAATCTGTCAGGAAAATTGGGTGGACAAAATTCACTGTCCATCACTGTACTCTTGGTAGGTATATGTATTAATATTTTGTCTAATGTAAAGTAATGAGTTAAAAAATGTATTATACAATATAAAATTTAGCTCTGTATGAGAAAATAGTATGTGCTATTGCTTAACGAGGTGTTATGTTAGTTTGCTGGAGCAATAGGTTAAAATTTGATGCTTATTTTTGAAATTCTCTTTTCCTATAACTATTGACCTATCGTTGCTATAGAATAATCGCTGTACCTTTTTATAATTGAACAGCAACAGTATAATATTTTAGAAATAACAATTAAAAATTTTTGTTTATATTATGTACAGTTGCGGAATTAAAATTTCGGGCAGTATTGTCATTTTTATAATGTAAACTCTAAAACAAACTTTATATTAATAACCTCATTTTTTACTCTTGTCATGTTTATGTCATTTTGACTTATTTACTTTAAAAAATAGTGATTTGTGGCATAATAACGGGTAAGCAGCAGAACAAAGCGAAGATTTAATTACACTTAGATCAATTAATAATAAATTTCCTAAGACAGACAAATTGTTTAATTAACAATTTTAACAACAAAAAGTTTAATTGTCAAATATCATTAGTCATGATGACAGTAAAGTGAACAGTGAACTTTTTAAAGTGAATAAGTAAAATACTGCCCGAAACTTTAATTCTGCAACTGTATCTTTACATCTTTTTAATTTTTACATTATAAAGGGTTTCTGCTTTTTCTGCTTTTTAGATGCGTTAAAAACTTTAAGGATCATGAACTTATTAAAATATAAATACCTAAGATCTTGTGAAAAAATAATATACTGCTTCAAAGGCCATTTTGCAAATCACTGTAAAATCTTAGATAACATTTAAAAATCGTGATTGTAGTTAGGAATGTGTGATGACATTTCAGGTACAGATATCGTATAAATGTTATGTGACATTGTGTAACAGCTGCAAGCTCGATTTCCGTAACAATCTTCGTTCTAGACCTTGGAAAATTGTCACAAATCTTTAAAGTACAGAAGTATGCGCATTACGTATTGTACAAGGTGTTTATAAAAGAATGCATATCAAGAATATAATTTATGTAGTAATTATAAAGACTCTTGTATCCTTATTCGTTTTCAGACAACAGAACTGTCAACAATAGGTTTAAGTTCAATAAACCTTTCTTGTTAGGTATACTAAACACGTTCATCTCGAAAGGAAGCACGTATCAAAGAAAAGTTCGATTTGAAACTAAATACATAAATAATTTATTTCACCAACCAATTTCTGTAAGACAGTTTTCCCAGATATGTATGACAAAGATCGATCCTAGAAGATTGTCGTTTGGTATAAATTACCTACTATGTATGGAAGAATTTTGTTAATAATAATAAGTTAACTAATAATAAGTTGTATAAATTCAAGCAACTTAAAAAACTTCATTCAGCAGATGTATGGACATCCCTTGAACACAATAGTATTTAACGTTACAGGCATGGTAAATGGGTTTTACTGGTGATAGCCAGTTATGTGACATTTTCAAGATTAATACAGCGACTTAATAAAATAAAATGTTTTTTATAAATGACGATTTTGCCGTATTTATAAATCATGAAGTGACTACCGGTTTTGAAATGAAGAAACTTTATTGCAAGATTCGCAAATAAATTTGCCTTCAGACTTTTAATAAGTAATAACCATGGCCGTCTTAGATTCTTTGACTTTATTAAATACTTTCACTAAAACTTCTATTTGATAAGAAGTGTGATAAATGGAGTTAATTAATATTTTACGATGTTATTGCGCTTAACATTACAACATTCAACAATTAAAAAAATTAAATAGGTAACGTAATTAGATAATAATTACCTATTGGTGCTAAATGATTGTTAGGAAATTTCTCTCGGTGAGACACCAAAAGTCATTGTGATTGAACTTTGTTTTAATTTTACATCCGGTTTAAAGGCTCACCTACGCAACCAATTTACTGTTACTGCAGTAATTTCCCGTTTGATTTCTATTGGTAAGTGGCGGAAGATACCCATGTCCAAGTAAGATAATCACAAGATTAGATAATAGATGAAACTCATCAAAGACGTCGTTTAAAAATTAATATCACTGTGCTAAGAATAATAATAATTGGCAAAATTTAGCAAGACTTTTTTACATTACATTTTTGTTCATTTCGTTATGAACCTGATAACAATTCTTTCGCTAATTTATTTATTGATTTTAACAGAATATGAATATTATAATTGAGATGATTATTGCAAGAATTTGACCTTTAAAAGGCAAATAATAATTTATACCCATTTGACATTAACAATGGTTATAGGAACTGACTGAGACACTAGTAAAAAAACAATTATCTTACACATTTATACATATAAATCTGTCATTATGCAATGAGTTTATATTAAGACATTTCTGTGTTTTGCTTATAGAGATGCAAGCTTGTCCTTATTTTTAATTCATTATTTAATATTGCCCTCAGGAGTTGCAGTTTTTGTGTTGTTCAAATACATACAAACTACAACTGTCAGTCCAGCTCATCCTTACTTTCACGGATATCAGCTTAAATAATAATTTAATTTTTTTTTTATGTGAGACAATTCATTTTTTTTGAAATTGATTAATGATTTCATTTCTAGATTTCGAATTATTTTTATTAAACGTGATCGTAATAACGCAATCGTATTGATGAAATCGTTTATACGTTCAACATGATTTTTCGTAACTTGATAAATCTCATAAGAAATGCCTAATACGCAAGATATTCCGTATGCAAATGTTTTATTTAAAAGTCAAGGGAATCGGATAATTTAACGATTCATGACATGTTAGCATTGTTGGTGTTGCTATTAATTTTAACTTTTGTATCAATAGTTGATTCCCAACATTATTTTCTTTTATTTATTGTTTTAAAAAAGATTAGAAAAACAAACTAATGAGAAATCATAGGCGATGTCAAAAGTAATATATCATAGCAATAATTTCTTAGAGTAATATGAGTATGATTAATGTCCGAGTTGCTTAAAGAAAAGGATATTATAAAGAATGATAGCACAGTTAATTAACTTTACGCTTTATATTATTTAAGTGATATAAAGTGACAGAACGTCACATCGATTTATAATTCACAAATGTAGAATAAAATGTTGAAATGTTTTATTTGTGCGTATTCTTTTCTACCATTGCATTCGAACACGGTTATGGTTAGTGTAAATTTTCATAGAATCGTTTATCTGATCATTGTGTACCTAATTAGGCTTTATTAGAAAATAAAAGAAAAACTTTTATGTGGTGGAAATAAAACTATAACAACAGTATTTATGCAAACGTGTTTTTCTGCTTTTTTGCACCTAATTTGAAAAATATTCTTCAAGTTTTGAGTTGATAATGATTGTAGCGTTTTTTTTTCTATTCAGAATACTTTTTTTTTATATTATTTTTAAATTATTTTTCTTAATAAACAAAATTTATGCACTAAGTAAGAATATGATTTTTTTATTTTTAAATAAATAGTATTTGAATTTGTAATATTGTGCAAAAACTGTTTAAATGATAGACAAAAGAAAATAATGTCAAACAAACAAAAAGCATCCGGTTATGTTTAGTTGGTTGCATATGTTTGTAGATACATACTAGGTGAATAAAAAATATGGAACTAAATGTTTTTTGCTTAAACTATTTATTTTTTGGAAAAACTAATTGATGAATAATAAAGTACTACAAAAATGTTATGTTTAATCAAAAATAAAATTTTACGAAATTTTGTTTTGCTTTTGAGTTCTACAATTTTTTTTTCTAAATGGCAACGCATTATAAAATGCGAAGGGTAAGATGTCCTCTGGTTTACTTCGATCGCTCGTATGCCGGCGAAGCAAGTTGTCAGTCGACAACAAGCTTCTGTTGTATAGATCAGTTATCCGTCCAACCGTAACCTATGCCTCTGCAGCTTGGGCGTTCGCGCCCTGTAAGACTCGGATGCAAAAGTTACAAACCTTCCAAAACAAATTTCTCCGCATGGCATTCAACGCACCGTGGTTTGTTCGAAACAACCAATTGCACCGGGAAGCCAAGATGCCATCCATGGAGGAATTTCTTCACGACATCGCTCAGCGCTACATTTGTATTGGTCCGGGAAGCCGTGGACTACGACGAAAAAGGTCCATCCAGATGCAAGAGGCCAAGAATGGCCCTCTTGTAGGCAAAGATGTCATCTCTAGTCAGACTTCTCCATCCGGTAAGTCTCTAATGTCAGCGCTACATTTACCTGGCGCAGCCCTGTTTCAGATTCCATCAAATGGTCACCACTTCGGGGGGAATCCCACCGAAGCGTCTTCCTTCCTTCCTGGCGTCACACTTCCTTGTGTGACCGCCCATCATCCGTTCAGGGATTAAGGGTCAAAGACTTTTTATCCCTTAGGTGAACGCGAGGGGTTTTATTATAAAACCATTTTTCTTATGAAGGTTATGATGTAAGGATTACAACTATCTACTTTATATTTAATTAAAAAAAAAATGTTTTTACATAAATTGCAACTTTGACAAAAAAATTGCATAACTCAAAAAAAAAAATTTTGTTCTCAAAATACGATCACATTTTTTATATTACTTTACTGTATATTAGTTATTATTTTCTGGAGGCAAATAATTAAAAAAAAGGATTGGTTCCATACTTTATATTTACCTGTATCTAAGTATTTTATCAGTGAGCTTTACATTGTTGTAGAATGCGTTAAAATTGCAAATTAATTAAGTTAACTTGATTTTAAATTAGGAAGGGCAAATAAAAGGCATTAAAGAAACATTATTTATATAGGAAATATAAAAAAAGAATAAAGCAGTTCAATATTAATAAGTACAATAATTGTAATCGCAAAATTATGTTACATAATTTTTTTTAAGAAATCCACCACGTCGTTGTGACCCTTTTCAACAGCTAGATCTAGCGGCGTTTTACCATTGTAATTTTTAATTGCCAAATCAGCATTTTTCGTCACCAAATATTGCACAACATTGAAATATCCATAACATGCAGCATCATGAAGTGGAGTGTCGCCATCCTCATCGATGACATTAATATTGGCACCGTTTTCATACAAAAGTTCGACAATACTTAGATAACCTCTTGCTGCCGCTGCAAACAGGCTAGTATTTCCATGATTATTCGGTATGTCTATTTCGGCTTTTGACTGAATCAGTAAGTTGATGATATCTAAATGGCCACCAACTGAAGACAAATATATTGGTGTATAACCATCTACAGTTACTGCATTGACATTGGCTTTATTTTCAATTAGAATAGTAGCAAATTCGTATTCACCGTCGGAACAAGCGCAATGAAGAGCAGTGACCATATCTTTATTTTTGTGATTAACATCAGTTCCATTTTCAATCAAATATTTAATTACTGATTTATGTCGACAAGCTACCATGAGAGGAACTGCTCCGATAGTAGTTTCCAAAGAAATATTAGCACCTCTTTTATGTAACAACTTAACTAATTCTAAGTTGCCCGTATAACAAGCGTAGAATAAGGCACTTTGTCCGTGGTTATCTATCTGATTAACATCAGCATCATGGTCTAATAATAGATTGGCAATTTGCAAATCTTTATTTGAACAAATTGTCATTAGGGGAGTTATTCCTTTTTTATCTACACTATTTACCTCTGCTCCATGTTGTAAAAGACACTTTACGTAACCGCAACAATCAATTTTGCAAGCTTTATGAAGAGCATTTGTTTCACCAATTAGACAGTTTGGATCTAATCCATTTTCTAGAAGGTAGTTTAAAAGATCTTCGTTTTTAACTTCCGCGTTCATCACTGTTTCAATCAAATTCTCATTGTTGAAATTTAAGTTTTGGTTTCTCTTGACAAGCAAACTGACTAAATCCAGGTCATTAGAGGTTACTGCTTCGAGGAGAATTGTTTCGTCAACTACAACTTCTTGATTAAGTAACATTTTCACCAACTCAGAGAACTGTAAAATGCTTGCTGAATGTGACAAATTGTTAGCTAGAAGTATATTTAATCAGATTTTTTAATTAAACTTGTTGGAAATACTTACTGCTAGAGTATATTTCGTTTAGATTTGTTTCAGCTGAAGAATTTTTAATAAGTGTGTACAATTTCAAGCTTAGTTGTAAAGCCGTAACTCCATAAGCATTGCGTATGTTGACGTCGATGCCGAAATCGAGAAGAATTTCTACAATTTCTTTGTTGCCTTTCAGAACACTGAGATGTAAAACAGTGTTTCCTTCTTTAGTTTGGGTATTTATGTTACAGTTGTTTTTCAAAAGAAGAGACACTATTTGTTTGTGGTTATTTATGCACGCATACGACAGTGGAGAAGCACCATCATCAGTAGTTTTCTGTTTTATATCAGCGTTATTTTCTATCAAATATTGTACAATTTTGAAATTTCCTTCAATGCAAGCGAGGTGTAGTAACGTTGTTCCATTAGGTTTAACCGGAGAGTTAATATTAGCACCCAATAAACGTATTTTTTCTAGTTCCTCTTCTCGTAAATTTATCATCTCCTGAGATGCAATTGCTTTTAAAGCATAATCGATGGGTTTATTCCCGTAAATATCTGTAATATCTAGAACGGCCCCTTTTTTCAAAAGCAAGTCAACAACTTGCATTTTTCCTAGCGCGATTGCTATGTGCAGGGGAGTTTGCTTTTCATCAGTTTGTACATTTACATCAGCGCCACCATCAATTAGAAGTTCAATAATTTCGGCGTTTCTGTATTTACAAGCGTAATGTAGAGGTGTTGCGCCATTGTTGTTTTGAAGATTTGGGTTTGCATTTTTACTAATCAATTCTTTTATACAGTCTTGATAGTTGTAACTGACAAAGTATTGATCGAGAATATTTTCACAGTTTGTTATATTTTTGAATTCTTCAGGTGTTTGATCTCCATCAGATAGAATATGTAGGGGTGTAAGTCCTTCTGAATTAACCACGTTGACATCTGCACCGTAATTAGTCAGTAAAACCGTAGAAAAAATATCTCTTTTAACTGCAGCAACGTGAAGAGCGCTTATATTGTCTAAAAATTTAACATTAGGATTTGCTCCGTTATTTAATAATACTTCAACACAGCTATTACTAGCAATCAACGCCAAATGTAAAGGAAAAACTTTATCTATATTTTTTGTGTTTACATTGGCACCATTTTGTACAAGAATTGGTATACATTCCGGAAAATCGTCTCTTGCTGCTATACACAAGAGTTTAGAATTTTTCCCAACCTTAGCCCCATTTTCTAGCAGAAATTTTAGAACGTCCAGATGTTTATTTAGGACAGAATAGACCAAAGGTGTGTTTCCACTTAAATCTTCATCATTAACTTCCGCTCCGCTTTTTACTAATTCTTCAACTACGTCTACTTTTCCATAAATTGCAGCAAGATGCAGTGCTGTTAATCCGTCTGGACATTTTGCGTTGACTTTAGCTGAATTCTTGAGAAGAATTGTGAGAGTGGATAAATGTTTTGTTGCACAATATAGTGGATACACTCCTTGTGTATTAGGCTGGTTAACCGATGCTCCAGCATCGATTAATGCAATTGCTGCAGAAACATGTCCATTTCCAACAGCAACGTGTAAAGGATTTAAAATATTTTCAGCAATGTAAAGCTCAGCACCACATTTGTGCAAAACTTTGATTACTTCAGGACAGTTATTTTCAGCTGCAAGAATCATCGGAGTAAGTTTATCTCCGTTGTCTTCTAAACTAAATTCGTTTACTATACTCGGATCTGCTTCAATTAATTTCAAAGCAATGTCGAAGTTTTTATATGTAAGAGCTGTATGAAGAGGAGTAAACAATTTCTTTGATTTTATCTTTGGATTAGCTCCATGTTTTAATAAAATCTCTACTACCTCAACACTGCTCATTTCACTCGCATGGTGCAAAGTTGTGTATCCTAAAGTTTCACATTGGCGATTAATGTTTGGTTTGTATTTGAGAAGAAGCTTTACTAGATCTATTGAACCACAACCAACAGCCATTTGTAAAATTGAAAAGTCCTCATATACAAAATTTATATCAGCACCATTTTGAAGCAGCAATTCTGTCATATCCAACAATTGTAACATAGTCGACAACATAAGAGGAGAGTTTCCGTTTTCAGAAATTTCGTTTATATCTGTACCTGCTTCCAGTATTTTTTTACAACATTCTGATCTATTATAGAGGGTTGCGGCAAAAATTGGAGGCAGTTTATGACCATGAACATCTGAACCGTTTTGTAGAAGTAGATCTACCATTTCCAGATTACCAAACGAACATGCTGAAGAGAGAGGATTTCCTAAAAATGCACTTTGATTGTTTATTCCGTCTTTGTAGGATTGGAATTGTAACAACGTTGACGCGGCTTTCAAATTGTTGCATTCTGTTGCCTGTTGTAACATCGAGTTTCTTCCAAATTGATATTTGTACTCAATATACGGTATGTCATCTATATTGTCCAGTATCTTGTCGTAGAAAAACAGAACAGAGTAATGTAAGAGGGTTGGAATGTGATTGCAGTAATTTAATGTTTGAGAAATATTTATTTCGCAGTACTTCAAAATTACGTTTATTGCAGCAAGACAAAAAGTTTTATCAGCATATTGGAAAGCGTTCCATTCCAATAGATTATCATGATCCAAGGGGTTGCAATGATAGGTTAATAAAAATTCTAAAATTTTTAAGTAATTTTCATCCTCTTCAAAAACTTTGACAAGGGTTTCGGTCGATATTGTTACCGCATTTAGACTGTGAACTGGACTGGTGTCTATCTGATTATATAAATTGCTGAATATTTTACTTCCCATTTTTAACCCTGCTGAACTAGACAATATGTCAATTATTTTCGAAATATTTTTGTTTCTGTGACTTAAATATAAAAGATGGTCTTCATATAATTGTTGACACTCTTCCGATGTTCTTTCAATGACGTCTTGATGAGCTTCATTTTCTACCACTTGCACAACAGGATGTTTCCGACCCCAAGAACAAGCTACATGTAATGCGTTTCGACCGACTTTATCTTTACTGTTAATAATCTCGTCTTTATGATTTTCAAGCATATTTAGATTTCGGTGGAGCACAGCTAGATGAACAGAATTGTCGTTTGCGAGTAACAAGTCAAACATGTAGCGGATACCATTGTATTCGTCTTCAAACAAAATCAACACTAGATCTTTATGTTGTTTCCAATTTTTAGATAACCACGATGCTGACAAAAACTCCTCGTAGGTTTTGTGGGCAAAAATTACTTTCCTTTCAGTTGTTAACCCCACAATTAAGCCCAGACTATCTCCGTTCGTAAAAATTTCGTCTACAAGTTCATCACAGTTCAAGTCCACATTGTCAAATCTTGATTTTACGGCTGCGATTTCATATAGATTTATTTGCGTGGTTTTATAATGATTACGAATTTCCTCCATGAAGTAATTATCGGAATCTGCTTCAGCTCTTTCAAACATCGTGTCAAATTTTCCTTTGATAAAGTGTTTATACATGTCAGTTAGCGTAACGAACTGATAATCATCCATTTTATTCTCCAGTCTGCGTAAGTAGATTTCAGTCAACATGTGGATATGAAGCGGACTTCCTGCATAATCAAGGTAGCTGCTGTTGAAAGAAGTGGAAATGTCTTCGTTTATTTTGTTGGTGAAAGCATCAACTGATTCTTCATTTTGGATTTTGTTCTTTAAATGCCATCTAATGTAATCAAATTGATCTTCTGAAGTAAACGGAATGAGTGTTAAAGCGAACGAATTGAATGACCACTCTAGAAATTTTTTTAAGCTGGTTCTGGCTGCTAGCCACTGAATATAACCTTCATGATTCAAAGATTTAACTGCTTCAATCGCACCGTTGAGAGCTTCTTTAGGGACTTCATCAAAACCGTCCCAGAAAAAAACTAGCTGCTTCTTGGACTCAAAAACATTGATGATATTTTTAACAAGTTGAGACTTCTTTTCAGAGGACAATAAGTAGTTAATCACTTCGCTGATGCTCCGTTTTTCTTTGAAAAAATTTATGTGAAGATTTAGTTTAACTGTAATCACCCAAGTATTGTTAGAGGATGAATACTTGAGATAATTTGTTGTGATCGATTTTCCCATACCCGGGTCGGTGCAAATAATATTAAGCCGATTTTTGAAGTATCCAAGAACTTGCAAATCGTCTACAAAAGCATCGACGTTTAGGAATTTTAAATCGATTTGATAATTCTGTAAATCTCTGATATCTCCTTGACTATGTATCCATTCTATTCTATCCGTGTCAATGAAGCGTACAAAATGACAATTTTTATCGTTATTTAAGCAGCAAATACTTTCACGTTCTTCTATACTGCAATCATTTTTAGTCAAAATACAGAATCTATTATTCAGGCTTGTGGTCTTTTCCAGTTTTTGTAAATAAGATAAACTAAATTGTGTGTAGGTGTTTAGATAACCACGTTGTTTCAGAATGAGGTATTGCTTGATGTCGATTGTGTTGATGTTGAAGATGTTTTGTAGATTATAATTATCATCAACGGAGATTATAAATAAGTCGTTTTCAAGTGCGGTAATCACTTTAGAATTAAGCAAAATTTTTGATACTTTTCTTGTAATGTAATATTCTGGCAAATCCTTCTTGCAGTCGTCTCCAATTAGTAAAGTGTCATCTAACATAGAGACAAACTCATTTGATGTAAATGCTTTCAATAAATGCTCATCATTTTCAAGGAATTGTTTAAGAGATGTGTTAGGTCGTCCTTGTAGTGACACAGTCATTGTATCGAACAACGTTTTAGAAAGGCAGCAGTGGGTTTTCAAATCTGAAAAATCTTTGAAAACTTTCCATCCCGAAGTATCTATCTCATTCGTATTACTTATTAACACAATTTTATTTTTGCCGGTTTCACTTTTAATTAACTTTAAAACAACACTAACATCGTTTTGGTCAATAGTATATTTGTCAGGTTTAATCACTAAAGGCACACGTCCTGCGTGCCAGTTCATAATGTACATTTTCTTTAATGTTATCTCATTATAATTCTCACTGAAAGCCGATAAAGGGAATGTTTTTAAAAATTTTCTCTCATAAAAACCAGGAAGTGGATCCTCCCAGTCGTAATCGAAAGGTACAAGTTCTTGCAATACGATTTCCCAAATCCTGTCCAATCCTTGGTTGGAAATATTATCAAAAAGGATTAGATCAAATGTGGCAAAAATACCAAAAGCTTCCAGTGCTTCTTTGGTGGGAATATTTTTCAGTCTTTCAGTGTTGGGTTCTGGAATGTGAGGTGCTAAGATAAGTTCTGCAATTTTTAATTTGACATCTTGTTTCGTCACTTTTAAATTGCCGTATTCTCGGCTACACCAGTGGTTAAAGAAGTTCAAATAATTAAGTAAAATGTTGGAGTTACAGTTTTTAAATTTTTTCATCATAAATGCACGGATTGAACTTTCAACTTCTTTGGTATTTTTTTGTTTAGTAAAAAAATAAAATTGCTTGAAAAATTCTTCATCGGTTGAATTTTCTTTTTGCGACTTGAATATAAAAATTTCTCCCAAATCACTTATATTCAGCAGGTCTTTGACAAAGCACGCTTCAATTTTCTTGATCAAAACATCAGATTCAATTTTTTTGTCATTGGCCACTGGTTCCAGTTTGTTCCAATTTTCGTTAAAATCTTCAGATTTTTCAAGAGAAGAATTACTAAACAAAATGAAGTGAAAATTTTTGAAGGTTGTTCTACCGAGAGAAGATTTTGAGTGTTTGGTTTTGACTGTTCGGAATTCTTTGCTGTACTTGTTTAAACTAAACTTTTTATTATTGGTGATTAATGTAATTTGTGCAATGGTTCGCTTAATATGCTTTAACTGAAGGGCAAATACATGTTCTTCTCCATTTTTAAATTCTATTTCAATTATGACATCGTCAAAATCGCCGTAATCTCTGTTGTTTGTTGATAATTTAAAGTCGATTACGTTTTCATTGAATGCGAAGATAAGGGCGTAATAGGCTGGTATTAGGTATTCGTAATCTTTTCCAACGTCGATGGCTTCATCACGTATAGAAAATTTCTGAAAATATTTGATCATTATAGTTACAAAAAAAAACAAAGAAAATCTTTTATATTGCACACAAGATGAAAAAGAAATATTTGTCAGTTCTCCAAATATTTTTCAGACCAGACTAAGGTGAAAACTACTAAAAGATTTTGTAGTGTTGTGTCTTAAGCACACTCGCATTTTTTTCGTAACATTATGATTCATGTGTTCTAATCTCGAAAATATGCCATAAACTTATTTCTTTCTACTCTGTATTCGTATGTATAATTTCAAAATTGATGTTTTCTGTTAACCGATAAATTTTAAAACACACAAATAAATAAATCATGTAGTTTTTTTATTTTTTTAACATAAATTTAGAAAATAGTAGTTTTGATTAGTATATTTTTATAATTATTATTATTAGTATGTACCTATTATATATTTTTTGTAGCCCTGATGAAACTGAAATTTAAATATCGAAACTGCCGACTTAAAAAAATAACAATTATTGTAAAATATTTTGAGTTTCATGTATTTATCAGATAATTTTAGATAAATAAATAATATTACATCCTTATCAAAAATAAAAATAGTAATTGCTTTTATCGAAATTTAAAAAAATAATGAGATCATTTTTCTTAGGAAGTTAATCTCTATGTGAAATCAAGCCCAGTATTACAAGAAAAGCCGGCTATAAGTATGAATTTAGAGATTTACGCCATCTTTATTCTCCAGTTTTAATCAAAAACTTAAAAAGTAACGGAAACTTTTTTACATTAGCACTTACTTCGTTATCCATAGTTAATGTTAAAATGTAGATTTAACACACTTTAAAAAAACTGAATAATTCATTTCATTGTCCATTACTTTACAATTTTTAACTGTGACTGAATCTGTATTTCGTACCTCAGTTTATCTGTATTTTATTATCTTTGTCACAGTTATCAGTTGTTACTCATTGGGAATGATAGTGTACTGTATAGTACTTTCGGAATTTCACAGTAATTACGTTATCACACTTATCAAGCATTTTGGGAAATGTGTAATTTGTGATAATTTGGACTCAAAAAACATTATTAGTTGATTAAATTACAAAAATATCACTTGAGTAAAGCGTATTTTTTAAAAAGATGTCCTGAATAAGAGTAATAAGACACACTGCTATTCCGAGTTTTTAGTGGCAGGCTATTGTTTGATTTATTTACGAGTATGTCTTATTTGAAAATTTTGTCGGTATAATTTTGTATCGTTCAGTTAAATTGGTCGTGGTCGTCCACTGATCAATCCACACTTTACGACAAATTAAAATTTTTGCACTGTCTCTCTAGAATAAACGATAAAAGGTTATTTTTTTCAAATGGTGTTAAACTTGACGCAAGTAGCTTTTGGAGGGTGTTTTTTGTCTAGCAACATGCGTAAGAACGTCGGTTAACCCGTCCGCAAAATTTTAACGGCTTAGGTCCTAGGTTGTTATTGTTGCCATAATAAGCATGGAGACAAAAAATGTGTTATTAAATAGCAATTATATAAAAAAAAACAAATGGTGTTTATTAGCAACATTTTCAAGATGTTTATTTGTAAGTTAAGGTCACTAAACAAATTAAAATAAATTTGAGCAAGTTGGAAACCACGTTACACCGTTGCGTGTTTGATACAAATTTAGAAAATTTGTTGCCAGCTCAATAAAAATACGCAAGTCCCAAAGTTGCTAAAGCTCAGATCTGTTAAAATTACCAGCATTGCCTGCTTGAAGCTCGGAAACATGCAACACATAATGATGTATAGGAAAGTCGTTATAAACCCCCTGTTGATGTGAAGAAGCATCAGCGACATGAAATCAGAGCATTATATTTTCCAAATGAGATCAGTAAGTCGAAAAGTTATTATCACATTAGTGTATGGGAGTTTCTTTTGCGTTTTATTTTTTAACGATTCAGTGGATTCGAGGCGCCATTGTGGCGTTTTGCCGTCACCACCATAAATTACGAGAACTAACAAACGTAGTACATACTTCCAATGAATTGAATTTTATACGAAAATACTTTGTGTTTTGTGTTCCAGATTTCTTTTGTAGTCTTTGTTGCAGTTTTATCTACGTTTATTATTATTAATACATATGTTTGCTAGTTGCTACAAGTCTTAAATGGTTCTGAAAAATCATAATTATCAAATCGATAAAAAGTAATTTTCATGTTAAAAAGGTTGATTATTCTAAAAAGTTCCACTCTATATAGATGCCAGGGGCAATTTGTATTCATAATAATTAGCAACTGTAACTCATTTAGTCGAATGAAAGAAAAATTATTATTATCTTTGAGTGCTTAATTTGTTTACTTGCACCTTTGAAAACTGTTTTATCTTAAACCTTACAAAACTTTGAATAATCAAGGTTTTTTAAAGAAACTTTTTATTTATGTAATGAAATGATTGTTTAACTATAAATTAATTGTTTTAAGGTTCTCTACAGTTTAATTATAAAATAATTTAATTTACAAGTCGCATTAGGTAAATAAAATCATAAAAAAATACTTTAAAGCTAATTAAGAATAGAAACTCAAGGGAATCTTTAGAAAAGAGTTTATTTAGTTAAAATTTTTCTGTGTGAGAACTTTAGAAAATGATGTCGTTATCGTTGCAACATCTCTTTATGAAACTTCAAGTTGGATTTTTTCCTACAATTTAAATCAGAAGAGAACCAACAGTTAATTTATTGTTTTGTTACAAAATCTGAAGTAAGAATTTATAAAAATATTTGCAAATAGCATGTCAAATCTTTTTAATTTTCCACGCGTGCTTGAGGAGATATAAAAAAATTGATATTGAAGGTGAAAGACCTTTTTTTTGTTAAAAATTTTAACAATATATGTTTGAATTTAATGCTAGCAAGTACTCGTATGTTGGAGTTTATTGATTTTTACATTTATCATCTTTACGGTATCAAATTTTAATCTGTTTGAACTGTGCTGAAATCGAAAAGAAGATACCAATGCAGTGACAAATATGCAGGAAATGCTTACCAATGATTACGTTTTACAAGAATCCATTCATGTCGAGTTTTGTGCTCACTTGTTCTACAAATCGGTGAATAAATGAACGTTTACAATGGCAAAATGAAAATTGCTTGTTCTGTTACACATATCTTTATAATTCAACGCAGACTATGAAGTTTAATGACAATAATTAATAGCATTTTTGTTAATCTTATTAGTATCGCTTTTTAAAATTTGTACGACTTTTTACATAAAAAAATATTGTAGTGGTGCTTTTATTTTAAAACCTATAGCGGTCTTATTTGAGAAACCGTGAAATGAAATAAAATAAGTGCACCTAAGTATTTGATGAAAAAAGTTGTGTGCCAGTGAAGTCGTGCTTGACCTGTCCTTCTAACTTTATCAACACGTAACAAAGCAACTTGTCAAATATAAACTTTCAGTCATGGATTACTAGATAGAATCATCAAAAATGTTTTTCCAGGAGAATAGGTTTTTTAATTACTACTTGAAGTTTTGCTTGACGTAAGTTTTAATTGAAAATCTAAATGTAGAGATTGTACAGTTTGCTTTAAAACTTTTGAGGAAATATTAAACCTTGGTTATTAAAATGATTGCGTGGTAAACACACTTCTTATCACAAGGATACATACTATCAACTGGGTTAAATAATGTAGTTGCACTTTTGTTTTCTTTGTGAAATAACAAAGGATTTTATTGAACGAAATAGTCGAAAGAGAATATGACAGGATGTCTTCTTCATGTGACTTGGTTATGTGTATAATAAACGTAAAAAACAATAATGCACTTAATTGGAAAAAGAAAGGACAAAGTTGGAAACAAAAGTGAGGGTGGGAAATTTCTACATTACCCTGGCGCACATTCCACCTGTTACGGGTTTGTGGATCGATAAGTGTACGCTCGACCAAACATTATATTATTTGCATCCCTAAAGGAGTTTTTTATGAATATGACAAAGAGGGGCAATTGTAATTTGTAGTTTTCACATAAGTGTGAATTTAAAATATTTAGGTAAGCTCTATAATTAACATTGCAATTGATTACAAAATTTTGCAAACTTTGTCCTATTGCAGCTTTTAGCCCAGTCGTAAAATCAATAACAGCTACTTGACTTATTTAGAACACCTTGCTTTTGTAGACTTGTAGTCATTAGTGAGTAGACTACACTCTAGACGTGATAATGATGTTAATTATTCTAAGCTTGAATCGAGAGAGTACTTAAGATAAAAACATTATTTTATTTTACTCACTATCTATACTGTTCATTAGTAAACGCAAACTCATTTGAAAGCACGTTAGCAAACTCAACATCTATGAATTAAAAATTGGATCTAAAGTTAGTTAGTTACCTGATGTTCTGCAACAGGTTACTTTTCAAGAGAAGTGGCCAATGTTGAATTTATAAGGCTAAGCGAATTATAATTTTGTCATGCTTAAACTTATCCATATAATTTTATGCAAAATTTTCAAAGTTAATTGTAAAATTAGGCTGCTGAATAAACTTTATCGATTTACTAATAAATAAGCAAACGAAGTATATACCCTTATTATACAAAGTGTTTTCTATTTATTTATTTTTTTTCAATAAAACTGGGAGGTGTTTTGCAATCGTTAGCGTGAGTGCCAGAGATATTGGTTTTGTTTCAGTGACAACTTCTGAATAAGATTGATGGATTGCATCATGAGTTAACTAAAATATTACGTTTTTCTTTATTTAAAAACGAAATTACTCTGAAGTTTATATATTTTAGAGTTTTGCAACTGATTTTAAGACTAAATTCAGAAGGGGGTACTACTTTTAAACTTAGAATTTAAACTCGTGCTATTAAAATATCATCTAATATCATGTTTCCCTATTTTAATTTTCTTTGCACTGAATTATTAGATCTTTTAAAAGTTTGGAATAAGAGAGTTTGTCTTTTAGGCAATATCTAAAACTGTAAACCTTAAGTGCTAAAGAGGTTGTAGTTCTCTACTCCTCGCCTTTAGTAGTACATCAGTATTTAGAATCCACTATTGCCTAATTAGATGTTTTTTTATCTAGCAGTTTTAATGAATGTATCACAAGGGAATATTAGCGAAAAGCGTAAATTATTAAGTTTTCAATGGATTAATGTACCTAATAGGATAGAAATAGATTTTTCATTTAATTTGATTTGTAAGTTTTGACTTTTTTTTGTTGCAATATGTATTTATTTAATAGCTACATGGGGTTAAGTCGTTTTGTAAAAAAATAGAATGTTTTAATGCATAACGGCAAGAGCATATTTTTAATTTGTTTTTAAACTTACAAGATGGTAAAATCTTTTTTTAAATACATTTTGTTACTGTGTACCTGCACTCGCCTTTATCACGATGAAATTTAATATTGGCGTGGAATGTAACATATAGGGATTAGTTCCCAGAAAAAAAGGTAAGTGGCTATTTTTCTGGAGTGGATAATGGACACACATCCTGTGAGATCTTTGTATCACTTTTTTATATTCTGTAATAATTGAAGTTCGCTATCGATTATTAAACTGGTTTGTTCTGTGTCTTATTACTCACATTTAATAACTGATGTTAGTTTTGCAGAGTGTTGCAATGAAGACGTTTGTTGTTTGAGTGAATAAAAATCAGAAATATTTAAGTTTAACTTCTGAAAGTTATATAACAATAAAAAATTAAGTCCAGTGCGGGTATCCATTTTTTGATAAAACATTTTTCTATTATGTTTGGGCACTCTGAAATGTTCAACTTTACTCATTAGCATTAAATCAAATTGCTATTTATTTATTCTCTGGATTAAAGCACTTGTTTAAATTATTCTCAAAGGCAATGAAAAAAAAAAGTAACTAAATTAACTCATGCCTTTGTGACCTTTTGTCGCAATTGTTTTGTTTACA